AACTATTTTTTTTTTTTTTAGTTTTGTGTACCATTCTAGGTCAAACAGCAAATAATAACCAAAAAAACTTTAGGTAAACCACGCTCATATTTTAAAGGTCGACAGGACTATAGTCTGAAAGGCTAAAGTCAAGTAAGTTAGTTCATAAATAACAAAAGTAAAAAACTAAACAATTTAACATGCTTTAAGTTACCGAACCGTAAACTAAGAAAATGCAACGCGGATTTCCTTGGACACAATGAAAATAGCAAAAACTAGAAAGATAGTTTTTTGCTTCCACTCCTAAAACACTCGATTAAAGAAAATTTGCCTTCTCGCTCACTCATTTAAAAAACTGATAACATTTTACACAAACAATATCAAGTACTTACGAAGCATTCTTAGAAACACTGTCCAGTTTTTCCACATGGTAACATAATCGGTGACGAAGATAGAAAATATTAATCACTAGAAGGACTACGTTCTCGCTCAGGTCCCAAGCTGTCTGATAGTACAATCAGGTGATGCCTGTTCCAGTAAACAACAATGCATTGATTCATACCAACGTTGCGGTACAATTTTACCGGAAACCATATCAAACGAATCTTGGAAATCATAGATAACATCGTTCCGTACTTTCCTTATTAAATATATGGTATTGGTTATACCCGTGTGTGATAAACTAATCGATTTTTGGAACTTACAGTAATTTCAACGTTACTTATTGCCTACTACCACGCTACGTTATAAGTTATAATGTTAAATCTTACTAATATTATAATTTATTTACTAATATTATAAATGCGAAAGTATAGATGGATGGATGGATATTTGTTAGCGTTTGTAGTCTAAACGGCTGAACGGATCTCCATGAAATTTGGCACAGGTTTAGAGCATAATCTGGAAGAACACATAGGCTTCTTTTTATCTCGGGATAACTTACGGTTCCCGTGGGATTCATTAATTCAGTTTTTTAATGTTTATTCGATCATTCTGCGACGGTTCAACATATCTTATTGAAATTTGGCACAGATATAAAACAAAGTCTGGAGTATACATAGGATAAGCTTCATCCCCGAGGTGTCCGGTTCCCGAGGGATACGAAGCTTTTTGTTATTTAAGTAGTTCGTATGTTTTCTAATACCACGCGGACGAAGTCGCGGGCAACAGCTCGTGTTAAATAATTTAGTTACGGTAATCAATTTTAGTACAACAATAGCAATCATAAACGTTAATATTAAAAAATTCATTTGCCTGCAAAATAAAACAATATAAATAATACAGCAGACTAAATTTTTTGTTCGTATAAACGAAAGAACCTCCCTAGACAAAGCTACTTTCCATTTCTAGTGGAATCGACAAAATGAGTCTTCACGTACATTTATCAAAAGTTATTGCCAATTCCATACATTTTTATTCGAAAATCGAATATTATTTTATCTAAAGGGTCAGCTTTACACCCATAAGACCACAGTGTGTATTCCACATTACATTACTAATCTCATAGAAACCGCTTCTTCTTGAACATTCAAATAAACTAAAATGAGTGACAAGTAATAACTTGGTACAATTGTATATTTTAAAAGGTATACACACATTAAAAAGTAAGAGAAAATCATAGATTTCAATTCGATATGACCTTATACTTGTGACTGTGAATCATATAGCTGGAGTTCAAGGGTAGGCAGACAGTGAAAACACGCAACGGCAAGCAGTTCGCAGAATCGCTGCGATCACGAACGTAAATAAAACCATAGTTACAGTGTTTACGAGAAAGCAACATTCAAGCGAGTACTGTAGACTATCACAAACATTACGTTCAATAAATGGTTTTTTTATGCAATAATATTTTATGTAAAATTAAACAAAATTTCAATCCGTAACAAAACCTCAATTTTGCTAAAGCTTTCCTAACAAGCTAAGCAAGAGAGTGATTTTTACAATATGTTGTAATTAATTATGAGACATTTTTAATGTGACTAATGAACCATTCTAATTAGTTAAGATTATTTTTTTACAAACGAGCAAGCGGCCGCCTGAATCCCCGAAATGGAAAGCGACCGCTGCCATAAAGATCCGCAATTGCAGATGCGTTACCTACACTTAATTGACAGAGGAGGAGACGCACATAAAGAGGATACTTCCCCTTCCTAAGCGTCTCCTCCACCGTCAAATCCACTTTTCGTTCCCATCCTTTCCACTTAAGAGGGTGGAAAGGGAAACGTGTAATTTCTCCCACTTTACGCCTGTCTTCTGTGTGGTCGTGGTATTACACCGGGCGAGCCGACACATTCGTGCGAATATGTTAAAGCAGGCTTTACCATGGTTGGAGATTACTGTCAATACGTTGCCTAACTTCAATGGTGAGAGAGAACATACAAAAGGTTTGCCTACTGGTAGCTACCCCCCTAATTCATCATTTGGTGACCACAGTGGTTACAATTCTGCAGGATAATATTGAAAAAAATACTTTTCCGATAAAATGTGCAAGTCACCTTCTTACAGTTTTCCCACTTTACTGACGCAATAAGAGACCTACTTGCGGGCGACCGTTTCAATGTAATAATTACACCTTGATTTTTGATGCCATTAAGTACAATACATTTGTCTAACGACCAATGATTCACGAAATTTCGATATGGTTAAGATACAGTTACGCCTCTAATAAGACCAAGAATCGGCTCTTTGTTAACGCTTTGTTTAATTTTAGTGGTTTTAGTACTCTAATTTATTTAGGAATGGATTTATGGTAATGTATTTTTATAAGAGCAAGGACAAACGGGCAACACCAAACTGATCAACGACGACCTTGGACATCCGTAATAATTGGACATCCGCAAAACTACAGATGCGTTAGCGGCTTTTTAAGAAATTGTATGCTCGCTTCTTGAAGGACCTAAGTCGTATTGGTTTGGACTTTGTATTTTTTCAATATACTCATATCTCGAATCTCTTTTATCGAAATAATTTGTTTACTTTTAAAGCAAACCCGCTAGTGATTGTCAAGGTCGTCGTTAAAAATACATAATTGAAACTTGTTCGCGGAATAACCGAAGCAATCAATTTTTTTTTATCAAACATTTAATGCAGTACATTTTAAAAAGCAACATGAAAAATTATTGGTAATATACTTTTATATTTCCATGTTCTACATTTACCAAGAACAATACTTTAATTTTGTTTTTCTTGTAAAATATGTTATTAATGTCCTTTCCGACTTTTAAGTTTTCCCGAAAATTCTCTGTTATTTATTGTCACTTAACTTTTACTTACAATCTATGAGTTTCACATCTTTCCTTATAGATTTCTACATATCAATTATGCTATAATTTTTTTATGTAACTATTCGTTGATATACCATTAAGAGCTAATTGGCTAGCAATGTTGGCAGCAAGACGCGCGGTCCGTGTTTTCCGAGAATCGATGACGTCATCGAGTCGGTCATCGCCTTATTTCGAAGGGAGCATTTTCCTCATTTCTGTAGATCAAAAGCCACAGCGAATAAAATTTCGATTATCACACTACAGACGTAGTAACTATTGACAACATTGTACGGTTCTTGGATTTTTGGACTTTAAACATAAAAACTTTGGGTCTAATTCTGAAACGAATCTTAGATATGTGTCGCTTAAATCTGACAGACGTCAGATGATATGGCATTATCATTTAAAACGCTGTTACTTATTTTAGTATCGTTTTACTATTGGGCTGTATAATCGCAACATTAGACTACAGGCATTCATATTAGATTTTTTGCTACAATTCTGACTACAACTACTAAAAGTTAGGTCGAATTGGAATTATTTCTGCATTCAAGCATTTTCTGATTTGTTGTCCCAAATGTCAAAATGTAGTCATCCCTCCATTTCTACTCTTCTTTTAAAGAAAGAGTAGACAAGGTTGCCGTTTAGGTGACCGTACCGACAGTACGGCGCTGTACAGAAAGGGGTACATCATATGTCTGCAAACAACACAGTCTAACATAACCCCAGCCAAAGAGCTGTAAAAGGGGGCACCATAGAATTCCCACTTAAGCACTAGTAGCACTAAAACTGGTACCGAGGGTAGAAAATGGAGATGGACTCTCCTTAATGATGCCCCTTACAATGTCATCACTCTATTTGTCTTGATTACTCTGAACCAAAACATAAGCTACTTTATCGATTTGACTGCAACATCATGTATTTTAAAGTTTACATATTTTTCACAATAAAAAAACAATTGACTAGAGACATTCATCCAATTCAAGTTTAAAATGATTATTAAAATACATGTGAAGACAAATGTATGATTTTTAAAGTAATATTGACAATTATTAAAAAAGCAGGTAACATTTTATGTATAACTAAGAGTTGAAGCCAATTACTTCATTTCCTATGATATAAGATTTAAGTATAAAAATAAAAATGACAAACACATGTTTACAAGTGTATTATAACTGGTTATGTTATCAGAATGTTATCACAATTCACAAGAACACTATCTACAATCATTATAAGAATAGATAAGCAGGTATAAGCCTTTTGGACACTATTAACACATTCCATGCCATAACTTCTAACCAAAATGAACACAGTTCGCAAGTTGATCACACTGAATGTGTTAAATTGTCCCTATAACTTGTTACAAGGTGTACCCTAAAAATATTTGTAAATTCCAACACTAACAGTAGAAATAATAACAAAATGGTTGCTATTTTTCAGATATCCGACTACAAGAATCTTTTAGATTTTTTTGTTTGTATCAAAATTTAGTAAATAGAACCGAGTTACACTACTCACTACTTAATCAATATTTCTTTAAGATTTTTTAATGGGAAGTTTTTTTTCATAGCTTATTATAAACTTCTCTTGATTTCATAATTTTGATATCCATCCAATGTAATAGAAGATAGTGCTAAATAAAAGAAGAGCTTAGTAGTAAAGGGTACATACAGTAAATTTTTATATCTTGTATTTATCAAAATCTATAGAATAAATATCAGGATGTCGTCATTTCAACAGACGCCAAAGGTCACTTACCGTGAGCGTGAGGGACCTAGAGGTCGAGACGGCTGGTGTGAAATCATTCGTCGAGGACCCCTGCGAGGACTGACTATCACACGAAAAGTCTGAGTGATTCGATTGACTATCACTAACATCCAGCTTCATCGTCATCAGTTCAAATTCTTTTCAATTCGAAGTACAAACACGGAAGATGATTTACGTAATTGTTTTTAACGTTATCGCGTTAACAAGAAATCGTAATAACTATAGAACATTCAACGACGTTTCACGATTTTGACAGTTCTAATTATGACAGCAACAACAACAAAATAAAACGCGTCAAAGAAATTATCCACGAACGAGAACACAACATTGATGAGTCATCAGTGCAGTTTGCACGGTGACGTCGTCTTCGCTTTGGGGATGCCCTTCTCCTAAGAATTTCTCACATTGGTATTACGAAATGTCCTAACCGCCCACTTTTATGTTACTCGAACATACTTTTTAGATTTGACATTCTAGTTTGGTCGCAACATTTTGAAGGGTGATCTCATCGCCTATTTTTAGCTGCATGTCGTGATACTCAGCCAATCATAGCGTATCTTATCGATAACGTCACTTTTTATGAATGTAAAGAATGCCGGATTGTAGGACCGTAGGGAAGACGGGAGGGGAAACATTAAAAAAAAGGGAAAAAATCTACTTGGAAGTACTTAACTTAAAAGTCTTTTTCTGATATGATTAAAATCACGATCAATTAAATAAGAATTTGCATGTAAGGCATTTTAATTTTTGAGTAAAAGAATTATCACTTGTATAATAACAAAAACTGCTAACATTTTTTCACTTATTAATTGACTAACATTGATTAATTAATTCATTTCTTTATAAAAGTAACATTGGTAAAGATTGTTTTTGCAACAATCTATTCTGAAAAATGAACCGCCAAAATAATGTGACAATGACACTGACAGCGATAGCATAAAATCACAGCCCATATCCACCCATGTCAAACAACTTGCCGTATTAGTTTTTATACGAAAGATATTTACATTTCTTATTAAAGAAATAACTGTAAAGGGATGCTGAAAACATACGATTTGTCACTTCAATTTCGTATATCATAAACCTATTAAAATAAAAAAGAAAAGCGCATCCAAATAATAATATATTTTGTCGTATCCTCGTAGAAAAACACGATGTCGGGGAAAAAATGCAAGCATTGCGGTTCCTCTGAGATAGAAGTAGACCCGGCCCGAGGCGATGCTGTGTGCACGAACTGTGGCTCAGTTCTGGAGGATAACATAATAGTTTCAGAAGTTGAATTTCAAGAAAACGCACATGGTGGCTCTTCTGCTATTGGTCAATTTGTATCCGCTGAATCAAAAGGCGGAGCTTCGGGATTCGGTAGAGGTGAATAAGTTTTGTTATAGGATTCAAGTTTTCTTCGGTTTCTGATTGTCTATTAAAAATGTTGTTTACCTTTCATAACTGTTATTTACTTTTATTGAGGCATCATAGACCTTGCAATAATCAATATGTCCTATGTAATTAACAGCCAAATACTGTCTGGTTCTTATGCCAATGTAGTTCAACTTATGCTAATTATATAAAAAAAAAATATTTTAGCTTATGTGGGTATTGGACAAGAGTCAAGAGAGATTACATTAAGGAAAGCAAGAGAAAGTATCACAGCTTTGTGTCAGCAACTTCGTCTAAATCAACAATGCATTGACATTGCCTGCAATTTCTTTAAGATGGCATTGTCTCGTCACTTAACTATTGGGCGACCAGCGAACCTAACACAAGCTGCTTGTGTGTACATGACATGCAGAACGGAAGGCACTGCACGTATCCTTTTTAATAACTTCATATAGTAAGATTATATAACTAAATAATTTTATTATATTTCATAATCTGAACAGTGCTTATTGCTACTCAAAACAGACATTCATGTTGTTTAAAATACAAAACCTGAGTTTTATTTAGCAACTAGACAAATAGAATATTTATCTATTGTGTTATACCAATGAAAAGTAGCCTAGTGAGTTAATTTTCATATAAAATATTGTATTCTGTTTTTACAAATTTAATTCTTTAACAAATTAATCCAGATCTTTTGATTGATATAAGTGATGCACTTCAAATATGCTGCTACCAACTTGGACGCACCTACTTCAAGTTGTCTCGTAAACTTTGCATCAACATACCTCCTACTGGTAAGTCAACTCAGTATACACTTCCCGATTTCACAGGATCGTTTTCAAATTTCATCCCTGATTTAGTTTCTAAATGAGATCTCTGTGTATATATTTTGTTAACATTATCTAGTCTTTAAGATATATGTTGTAAATGTTTTATTCTGATCTAATATTCATATTTTTTTCTATTAATTAGTGCAAAAAATTTTAAGAGCTGTGTATTAAATTTTAATCAGAATTGAATTAAAAATATTTTAAACGATGTAAACTCAATTGTTAAATAAATAAAATTAAGGGTTAGGTATCTCGGTTCGCCGTGATCGCTCCCGGAGATCACCAGCAATATAAAGGGTCTGCTGGGGTTCTTCGGTGAGCTGGGTTGGCTGGAGTAATCCATGTCCTATTCTTACGCAAAATACGCGCTAGTCGTGGAGTTGCGGAAACTGTAGCCCCTACTACTACTACTACATAAATAAAATTAAAAAAAAGGTTTATAAATAAAACCACAAAATACAAAATCAAGCCATAAATTTATTGCAATGAAAATTTTATGAAATACGATGTAGCTGCCTTACACCTATGAATTTATAGAGAGCTATTACAACACCCATATCACATTTTTAGGTACTTATTTTCTATCCAAGATCAACAATATACACTAGATTTTAATATCCAACAAAATAATTTAACATTTGGAAGTGAGACATAATATAAATATTCAAATTTTCTCTTTGAATGGTGAAATGTAAATCTACTTAACTATATTGTGTGATAATTGAGATGTCTCCTATTCAATTGTCAGTCATCGCCTGCATTAGAGTTTGGTAAAGTATTCACTGTTGGTCCGTAGTAGATGAGTTCAGGTATCTGTCCTCCTTGCACTCCAGTCCCATTAGTACTCTCTGATGAACAATGGAATTGAAAAGTCACTGTCCCCATATACACTTCACTAAGACCTTCTTGCCCAAAATAACTTAACTCACTGCCATCAAGAATTGCAGATGCAGTATAGAAACATTCTGGTTCAATTTGTATTGGATTTTCAAAGTAAACATGGAAAGTGTTACTTGATCCATCTGAGAAGAATTTCGTATTGTTTTCAGCGAGTACTCTGCCTAAACGCTTCAATTCAATTTTAACATTATAATCTGCTGCACCATTGGAAGATCCATATAGTCCAAAACCAACAACAAAAATTCTCTTGTCCACACAAAATTGTATTGAATCACAGCGACCACGGTATCTCCATTGATTGCTGCGGTATGCACATGACTGGAATCTGTGGCAGATCTGAAAAACCAATAGAATATTGTTAGTTATATATTTCCCATAATAATGCACATAATACGAATGACATCAGTTACCTGAGCTTTAAGTCCAGCTCTTTGTTTGATAGGATATGAGAGTTGTGGTTTATTTGCTGCAGTAAAATGCAAAAATATATCAATTGTTTCTTGTGGAGTTAGGATACCCAGTTGTGCAGCGCTGTTTGCAAATTCGTCTAATGACATAGTTGGGAAGCGAATTAAATATATCGCACTGCCAAGCATAGCACGCTTATTGGATGGCGTGGCCTCTATTTCTCGGCGCACACATTCCGCTTGGGCCCATGCCAAAGCTGCTTCAAACAAGTTAATTTCTTTAGAGTTTAGCGTTTCCCTGGCTAATACTGACTCCAGAGTTGAGACATCAATATCAACAAATCCTTCAGATGTCAAAGCGATCTCCGCCTATAATTAAATTATAATGGTGTTATTTAAGTGGACAGGTTCATTAAAACTGCAATACAATTTGTTCAATAGTTTATTCAGATCTTTATAGATTCAAATGTTACAAGGTCTTGACTCTAACATCAATTACATACTTGACACTTATCATGCAGACAACAACAAACACTTACAAAATGTATTGCAGTTAATATAATTAGTAGCTATTAATACATGGAACATCAAGTAAGTTTCGAAATAAATAATTAATAATAAATTGGAATGGTACAAGATTTTAAAGTTAAATAACAAACCATTAATTTAAGTCACAACCAAAATTTGAGTATTCCATTTGTCAATATTTTAACATAAAAAAAATTAATTACAAAAACTATGAAGATTATCTGAGGATATATTTTTACATTCGGGACTTGAGAAGTTTCGACTAGATGAATCAGAGAGCTCCATTGTTAGACTACTATAGGAAGAGGATGGATTGAGACAGATTGTTCCTAAATTTTCAGTAGACTCACATACCTGAGCATCAATTACTTCCCAGCACCTCTGCATAAGTTCTGGCTCTTCAAAAAATCTAGATTGACTTAGCAGAAGGCATGCATTCTTTGCTGTAAGACTAGTTTCCAAATAGTTAACGCAAGCTCGAGCCAAATGAGGGACAAAATATTTCTTTGCTACATACAATGTAGATAGTACTGTATCAGCTTCCAATTGGATTTCATCACAATATAAATATCTGAAATAGAAATATCAATTTGTTAATATACCACATACATTTAGATTTAATCTTGAGAATTTCACATTTCAAAATTGCAACATTTTTCATAATTTGTTATTTTTAGATGTAATACAACATAATTTATAACTCACTTCAATAGTGTAAGGAAAGCTGATGGTTCCACATCAGGTACTTCAATTTCTGGCTTACATTCAGCAAGTCCACCATAAAACATAGCATAAAATACTGAGCTGCCAGTTGCCAATACATATTTGTGTGCCGGGATTATCTGTGTGTGTCCTGAAAATATTTAAAAAATATTACAAATACTGCAAAACTGTGATTTTATATCAAGATGAATTGTTATGTATTTACCTGGGCTACCAACTATAAATGTGATATCAGCCATTAGTTGGTTGTTAAACATGGCGGCATTCCTTTCTCTAACGGTGGGTTTGGTGGCCTGCCAGTTGGGGTCAAGAGTGGCAGTGCCGGGGGGCGGCGCTGGGGACACTGTGGGCGACGTCGCAGAGCTCGAGGAGCCACAAGGTGAAGGCGGTCCGCTATAACACTGTGAAACTTGTGTTCCTGTTTCGCGTTGAGATACCGTATGAGGCGGGGACAACGAAATTCCACCACCATTGTTAATGTTTTCTGCTGTGAATACATAAAAATTAAATTAGATGTTATAAATTACAAAGGTTAAGGACACGATTATATAAAATTAATTATTCAAATGTCACAAACATCATTGTTACGTGTTATTTATGATTGAATGATACAACGAGGTGCTGGAAAGTGTTAAAACAATTGTTAATGTTATTCATTGATAATGCCTATAAACAACACTAACAAATTCGCTCACCTAAATAAATCAATATTTACAAAGACAAAACGCTCACCGTTCATCCAAGTATTTGTTTGTGCGACAGACATACTATCCCTATTTTCTTGTAACCTTTTTGGAGGTTTTGAAACAATTCTAGAACACAAATTGGACATAGTGTATTAACGTATAATTCAATATTTTAATTTAAACATTTGAACACGGGACGTATCTCAATGACGTAAGCCAGCCATCTTGTTTGCGATGTCGCGGGCTCGCGGCTGGTTACGGAACGCACCGAACAGAACCGAGCGGTAGCGAAGGCGACGCGGGCAAATTGTCATTTGACATTACGTTCGGAAACATTTTTAACTTGAAACGGTTTTCAGACATTAGATTGTGATGAAAAAAAACTTAATACAATTTGCTTCGTGAATGAAACTTTTATGTAAATTATGTATTTTAGAATTATTGGAGACATTTTTAGATTATAGAAAAAGCTTGTGTCGTGTCATACCAAGGATTATTATCATAATTGATTTTAATAAATAGAAAGCGTGGAATTATTAGGAATTGGTGACATAATATTTTTATAGAGTTATTAACACTTCACAGCAATCCGATGTTACTATAAATTGAGTGGATGGAAAAACAATTGCTATCTCATTATAATCCACCTTAAAAGCGGTTGATATTATTCAAATAAATAATTCAAATATATCTATTTTTATGTTACACAATAAATAATCGACAGGTTAGTAAATAGACTTACTTTACCTTGAACCAAAGGTCTAGCACGAATGTTCTGATGGTCACGTTGATTAGGTTCCTGACAATTCAGTTCAGAAAAGCGACCATCCTCATCTATCAGACTTTCAAAGAAATCCACGCTACTATTCATTGATGACCGGCTTTGAAATGCATACCAAAAAAGACTGAAAAAAAAAATAATTAAATAAACCTCTTCCGATTTCGAATCTTACTGTGTACCGATATGAGTAGAGACCATCTTAGGGCTATCAACTGCAATCCGACTGGATAATCTAAATATGGTAGATTATAGGGTGTTAAAATGTTGAGTATCCATTCCGAAGTCTATTCTGTATATCGGTACACTCATTTTATTCATAACATCTTTGTCGGAAAAGATAAGGAGATCAAGTAAAGAGATCTGTATAATCGTATTGATGTGTGAGCATTGTTATTTAGTATTTAAAAGTATATTTCTATATTTGTATACTTTGGCTTACATGTAAATCAACGTATCTTGTAATTGCATTTAATAAAAGTAATAAATATTTGAAATTTACATCGTATAGTAAATGTTGAGCTTTGACACACTTATTCCTATTTGTATATGTGAAGTCATTCTAAAACTTTAAATAATTTTTAGCACACTACCACTGTTTCGTATACAAAACAATTTGTATTTTTATGGTGCTTAGTGGTAAGTTTTACAAATTACTTAACCACGAAGTATACGTAGGGCTATCGCTTAAAATAATGAAATAAAAGACTGGCGGTAATAACAAGATCATCGAAATATATTTGAATATGGAATTTTAAGAAGATAAACGTTTGTGGTATACGATGTAAATAAGAATTCACTGATTTACTAATTTCATTCTAAACACTGAGAGTAATCAAGTTCATTAAACAACGCAGTTTTTAATAATTTTACAACTTAAAATATTGTAGCACAAAAAACAATAAACTACAGAAAATAAACTGTTATGTTTTTACTGTGACA